ATTCTTCTCAATAAATATGTGGTGCTTACGGATAGTATCAATAATTATTTTTATTTTCCCAAACTTTAAATCACTGTAAAAACCGCCTGAGTGCTGGTGACCTTTTAGAAATGGGCCCTCACATTAACCTGTAGTGGTAGATAGAACCCCAATCATGTTCATTAAAAATAGTGCGGCAGTGGTAGTCATGTGAAAAGTGGAGCATCTACTGAATGACAGTGACCACATTTGTGCAGCTTTTTTTTCTGGATTATGCCACAACAGTGTGCAGAGGGACTCATGTACACAGCCTCATACATCTGTAGCATATTAATGAGGAAATACAATGTTCCACTCTCCTCCCATATGAGCTTTAATGAAGGTCACACAACAGGCCAAAATAAATCTCACCGCTGGAGTTAAACATTTGATGATGTTCTGATATTTCTTCAAAGGGTATTCATTATAGCACCAATGTGTTGCTACAATAAATAAAACACAAAACCATACACTGAAGTAACATCGCTGTTCAATGCAGAAGCTTTATATCTCCATCTGTTATGTCATGTCTCAGATGACCTGGCAGAAAAAACCTTTTTAACCAGACAAATATTAACAAGGATAATTTAAAAGTCCAATAAAATAGCTGTGACTGACTATTTTATCTAAATGCTATTCTTCTTGATCTAAGTGGTATCACTAATTCACACTCAGTTCTCTGCAAAGCATGTGTCCTTTTCATGTATGTTGACTTTCGCCTCTTTGATATACCATTTTTCTTTCATCTTTTACACGGCTACATTACAGTACATGAAAATACATGTTTTATTACTGTAGCCACAATATATATATAACAGGTTTAAATGATCAGGTGATTCTGACCAGGGATGTCATCTGTAACAACTTGTAAGATATGTCAGGTCTTTCCCTTTTCCTTTGATGAAATATCTGCAGCTGTTATAAAGCAGACAGAGTGACATATCAATCTCTAATTTGAACTCTGATGTTCAGTTAACCAGATATGGAAGGAAGTGACAGCCTTTGAAGCGCTGACATTGCCTTAAAAATGTCTCAAATGCACTTGTCAGTGTGGAATCAAAGCCTGTGGATATGGCTCTGTCAGCAGGCAGATTTCACAACAGTTTCATCAACTTATCTCCAGACGCATATTGTCATCAAGAAGTGACAGAATAACATCCCTCCCCGAAGACCTGCCTGACACTGATGATCATATCTGGGCAATTGGATTAAATCATGATGAACAGCCACATAAAAGAAGCCCTGATGGTCATATCAATGGGGATGGCACAATGACAGGATATGCATTGTCTCCTGTGGAATCTATAGAGCTTTTGTTAGGACACACAGCTTGGGAAATTGTTCAGTTTGTGTTGTTCAGCTATGAATTTATAAAAGGCTCATGTACTTTAAGCATTAACACACAATCACACAGGTGTAGCGTGTACTCTTAGACAAAGACACGCTGCATTATACAGGTTGCAGGCAATACTACGGTTTCAGCTGGCTGGGTTGAAAAGGTTTTATGTTGAGATTGACTTTCAACCTGAGTGTGCACCATGCCATCGCACAGACTCACTCTGTGTATCCCACAGCTTCCTCTTTCACTTCTTATTGTGTGTTTTTGCTAGATATAACAGACATCATTTTGACATCTTTGGGAATATGTATTGTTTAGTGTTGAGTAAAGGCGACTGCATTTAATTGAACCTGAAATGAAAAACACAGATAAAAGACATGGAGAGAGAAAAAGAAGAGTAAAGTCACAGGATTAAAATGTAAATCCTCGCTATTACAGAGATTATCATGGGAAATCAAGACATCGAAGCAGCAAATTGCTATGAGGTGTAGCAGAGACAATTACATTTGAGCATGTGTGTCAACATATGTGTGACCACTTGAACAAATCTCTATACCTATAGGAAAGTTCCAATTTATTACAATTTACATCCTGTTTTTGTTGATTTGGCCACCATTTATGGGTGTCAACACTTTATTTACAAAGTTTATAGATAAGATCCGGGAACAAAGTTACATTGGAAACATAGACAGGGCAAGGAACAAGAACTGATTATCAAAATGTTTTATTATTTTCAAACTTGATGGAATCAAAACCTTTTTGTCACACCAAACAGACCAGTGCAAAATTCTCTATAGACATTGATTGTTCCCGGGCAGGGTCCAAAATGATTTACACTTCCTGCATGTGTATATGTGTCTGGCTACATTCATCAATAAAATAAAAACCTAAGAAATGCCAAATTACCCTGGATCATAAGTGCAGTAAAAATATAAAGCTGCTGGAGTATGGCTATTTCGGCTTCCATTGACAACACCAAGATGACTTACAAAGAAGTTTATTCCGGAAAATGTTGGGAGACCTGGTTATCATGAAACTATTTCCTTCACAACACAACTCTGTGACAGAGCAGTGAAAGACGGGTAGTGAGAAACGAGAAAGGAAGTCTGTGTTAGTTCAGTTGGTGTTTCATTCTGAGTCTTTGTCTGTCTCCCCTTCATTATTTCAGTTTGTCACACACTGCGAGTCAAGGTGGAGAGGACACAAAGAGCGGGACTCAATAATTTCCGATGTGTGCGTGTTTGTGTGTGTGATGGAGATCAGATAGCTGTCTGTGTGTTTTTTTTTCTCCCGAGAGTACCTAATAATGTGTCTGTCAGAGCAACAAGGACACAGCGATAGACTTATCTTCACACGCTGACACACACACAAATCACACAGTACACGATGCTAGGTACATACTGCTGGTAGCTATAATCTATAGAGAATACACACATTAACACACATGAGTCATGTGAAAGGGCTATTTCATTCTAACCAGTATATCACCCAAGGATCAGCCGTTTCATCTTAATCCCGCCATTCATTCCCCCAATGAGCCTTTTCTATCCATCCAATTATATGTCCTTCAATACACTTTTATTTAACCTGATGGCTAAGCTTGCATTTCACCTTGAAGTGTGTTTTTGTGCATTCTAAGAAGCATAATTATACTCCCATCTGAATGTATTAAATGAAATGCTCAGGTGGTTCAACTGTGTGTGTGTGTGTGTGTGTGTGTGTGTGTGTGTGTGTGTGTGTTTGCACTCTAACAACAGAGAGGAGAGTCTGATGTCCTCTAAAAGTCGCCATTTGTTGTTCTGTGATACATCTTCATTTTACCAGCTCATTACCTTGTTTTCACATGACAATACATCCTGCTGGCAACATAGTTGAGATGTATGAACAGAGAGTTTTGGGGCAGTTTTTCATAGTTATTTCTTTCTTTGTGATGTTCCCTTTGGCTTTTCTTGTTTGTTTTGTTATAATCCCCAGCATTGTGTATTCCTCTTCTTTTTTCCACTCTGTGTCTAACTCCATGTCATTGTCCCTAACCATTCTTGTTTGCCCCTTTTGTCTTACACACTTCGTTTGAGGTAGGTTTTCTCAGAGCAGTAACTCTTAATTTCACAGTGCTGTAAACACCATCTGGGTGGACCCAATATACGTGGTGAAATGAAGGACAGAAACTAAAAGTTAAGCATTTTGGGAATAACAATAACTTAAGTGTAGTTTAATGCTACTCTTGTGTGTACAGCAAATGTGTAACTACAAGAGCCAAGAGATAATTAGCTTAGCTTAGTTTAGTGTAGCGGCAATGGTAGAGCTAGCTAGCATGTAGTTAGCTGCGTGTCACTGGTTGCCAGTAAAACAGCAACTTGTCATTTGTTTTTTGACCAAAAAGGTTTCACACATCGTATCACATAACCCACATCATGTAACATAATAATTAGCCTGAAAAGTAGGAGTAGAAATATCATAATAACAAGCTACACACAGGTGGATATAGCCTCGCGGACAACTTAGCTGACATAAATGACCCCTCTGATAAGTAGTTGAGAGCATCCTCTTCGGACTTGTTGGATTTTCTGTCTTCACTTGATGTCAAACTAAGCCCAGAGCAATTATGCTCTGGATTTGGGTTGAAGAGAAAGTAAGCAATGGCTCTCCGTCTGCTTTCATGGCTGTGAAAAATGAGCTTGACCGAGTGAAGCCTCCTGTCTCACGGGAGAAAGGGTAAATATATGGAAAGAATTTCAATTCGCTATTGGACTGCCGTAATGATAGATTTTTTGAACTGTAATGTTCTTTGATGTAGTAGCATGCAGTCAATAAAAATGACTGACAGAGCTTAAATGATTTTAGTACAACGTACTTTTGAAACTATCTCCATTGTGGACTCTTATTGTACAATTTAAACGTAAGGAAACACCTAAGGATATCCTTTAAGATCTTCACCAATTTCCGTACCAAAAAAACACCTTATTTACTTTCAAGGATTTAAATGATGCTACTACATAAAAATGTCTCTTTTCTAAGCAAATATCTAACAAATAAGTACTAGCACATAACTATATTTATGCTAAACAAAGTGTAAAATGTACAATTCTACATTTAACCTGCACGTTTTGTATCTTTTATCATAACAAATAGCGCTGTAGTCATTAATAATAAATGTTATCTTTTATAGTCGTTTCACAAAAAGTAAAATATCGTTTTAATTTTGACACACCCTATCTACCATTTCTCAAAAGTAAGATATGCTTGTTTGATGAATTTCAAGATTTCGTTTGTGTTTGTTCAGCAAGAATCTGAATATTTACACCATAAAACAACACCGTGAGTGACAGTGCAGGAATTATTTAGAGATGTTGTCTTTTGTTTAGTCATTCGGTCTTTTTCTCTCTCCGTTTATCTCAACTCACAATCCCACCCAATTACACACCTCATCTTCTTGCTTTCTTTTTGGAAACTGGGTTAAATGTAATATATTTCCAGGGACTACTTTCATTTGGGTCTGGATTTAAACAGGCCATTTACTCTGTAGTCTGGAAAATGCACAGCAAAGTGCTGACATGTATTAGAAGCGCATCAGACGGATTATGTTTAATGACAGGTTTTCTCGGTAATATAAGTCTCTCTGTTTCTCTCTTTGATCTTCCAGGCGGGGATATGGACAACATGAGGTTGGTGACTGTCTCTCGATGAATGCTTTACAATTGCATGCGTGTTATTGACTTTTTCCTCTTTCCCTCTGATGTTCTTCCCCTCATGTTGTTGTTCTCCCTCTCTTATGTTCTGTTTGATGTAATTTAGATAGAGCAGCATACAATAGCTGCTCTCAATAGAGATCTTTACACTGATTGTATCCTTGTAGACAAAGTTAAAGAAGGTCAACTGATCCTTTTGAAATATACACCTACTGGAACAACCGTGGTAATACAAATAAAACTTGAATATAGAGTAATCCATTTGCTCATTTCTGGCACACTTGTCCTTGAATATACATCGTCCCCGAGAAGCCGTATGAATACCAACCATTTGACGAAATGCAAACATTTTAAACATGTAATTTTATTCTGAAATCTAATATGGTCAAATCCACTGATAAGATATTCTTTGACCTTGTCATATTGAATAAATTACATGAAGTATTGACTTTACATTTCCAAATGAGATGTTTACTATTTTGAAGGCGAGCCCTTAAGTTCTTTCATTTGTCTTTGACGATTCTCCTGTCCTCTGGCAGACTCAGCAACTTCTCCGACCCTCTCTGCTCCGACCAGAGGTATCTGTCTCTCTTTACTCTATACTTATTTTCTCCCCGTGTGTTTTACAAAAGTATAAATACATGAGTGTGTCAGTTTGTGGTGGATTTACTATTCTCTGTGGGTGGAAAGCTACTTATAATGGTCTCTCATTCTAACAGGAGTTATCGATGGAGTCTGGCATCGACCCCGGACAGGAATACTACGCACAAGATTATTACAACTATGATCACGGGTTCGTATGCACATCTTACCTTCTGATGTTTGCACATATTCTGTTGACTAGTGTCTCTGTTTGCTCTCCTGTAATCATAACATATTGTTTGGATGCTATCCGTCCCTTTTTATACTCATACTTGATTATTTTCAAGCTTCTATCCTTATGTTAAACTAAAATTAATTCATAGATTTGAAGAATAAATAGACAGCTAAAAGTACCCATTTTTGGTGTTGTTTAAAGAATAGCAATGGAACATGGTTCATACAAAATGAGGTTTCATATATACATTGTATATACATATTTACAATATCATGATACTGGTCTATTCATTTCAGAATATATATTTATTTAAGTCAAGATACTGATTTCAACCCTAATGCCCAGCCCTAAAAATCATACTCCTAATATAATTATAATTTTAAAATAAAAGCTCAAACTGCGACTCTAAACGGTAACCAATCACAGCTCCAGAAAGAGCATTGTGTTAGAAAAAAAAGAAGAGATAAGTTAGCCCTCATTTTAAAACATTTTATATTTTGTACACACACACATTATAAAGATACTGAGTACTAGGAATCCAATCTCCTCTAGGTTTTTATCTTTGACCTTTGTCCTCCAACATCAGTGAAACATCTGTCCTCCTGCACTAGTGAGATTTGTGTCCAGCTGAGCCTGGTGTCAGCCCTTTGGCTGTTGCTTTGGTTAGTGCTGATCGCATCAGTAACACAGCACGTTACGCCTGGGATCCTGACACCAGTGCCTCATACCAACCTAAACGCAATATGTGTGGTTAAAGTGTTTTTGACTACAGGAAGTCAAAGGAGCTGAAGAGATCGTGTGTGTGTGTGTGTGTGTGTGTGTGTGTGTGTGTGTGTGTGTGTGTGTGTGTGTGTTTTTGTGCGCACGTGTGTGTGCGCACGTGTGTGTGCACGTGTCTGTATTATTCTGCAACCACGCTGCTATATTCGATGCATTGTGTCACTCTTATAATTTTAGCTGCAGACTCCGGGTAACTTGATTTTATACACCCACCCACACTTACACAAATACACAGTAGTAGACAAACACATACCCTTTCACGTTCACACACACACACACACACACACACACACACACACACTGCTAATTCTCTCTGCCTAGCATTACGATACTGTAGCAGCTAATCAGGCAGCCAGCCGTGGAGCAGACAATGGGCCAGATGCTGTTGGCTTAGAGCAACATCCAAAAAGTCATGTCTGACTCTTAACGCACACAGGAGCAGGAAATTAGACTTTGTGACCCCACAGGAATCAGATCTAATCACTTCGTTTGTCTCAGTTGTAAAATGTCCGCTTTTTGTTCCAAGACTATGCTAGCAAATGCTATACTGACCTCTCAGGTTTTCATGCCTGAGTTTTGTTTTTGGGAACAGCTTTTCCGCTGATTACTTCCATAGCTATACTAATCCATTTGGGAGGATGTTCCATGACCTTTTGACCTTTTTCTTTCATCCGTCTTCAAAAGACGAGATCAAAATTGGATTTTCTCTGCATGTGGGAACGTTGCCATCTGCCATTGGCATAATTCTGATTGGATTTATACAGATGCTGGAAATAACTCGAACCGTTTGTAGCACAGGGCTAATGTTTTGAAAAACAAAAAAACACACAACAAAACAAGCCAAATTATTCTTGCCCTGTAGTCAAGAGTAAAATGCTTAACTGTACTGAGCAATAAGGGATTAAATCTTGCTTTTTCAAAATCATTATTGGCGTGGGTGTTGAGTAGTGTGTCGGGAAGCTGGTTAGGGCACCCACACGAGAAGTATACGGTGAGGAAAGTCAAATCTGGTAGCGGAAATGCAGTTTTCAATCTTTTAAACAGGAGCAGGATAAAGGTTTGTACATAAAGATGCTGTATGTGTCCAACTTGTTTAAGGCTAGGAACAAGTTGTACGAAGAAGTTTTTTTGGGTTTCACACTCAAATGTAACCACACTCATGTTTCTGTGCATTTAAAACTACGCTGCACCCATTAATCTTAGCCTATAGCTGGAAAAGGGAGAAATGGCTTTCTTCATCCAATAATTACAAATTCCACTCGCCAGCAAAGTAAAAACGAGTTAGGATTTTGCTTGTTTTGTGCTGAACCATTTTTTCCTCACCAAGAATATATCCAATACTCTCATGGTTACAGCTTCATGTTTTTTAGACAGAAGGTCAAGAGCAGCTCCTGACTCTTAGTCCCTGGGATGCGTTAAGCTCCAAAAACATTTGGTTTTACAAAAGCACTTTTCTATTGAGCCCCCTCTGTCTGGTAAATATTTCAATCCCTTTGCTTTGTGTCGAAGCCCATGCTTTGATGGTTCACCTTTAAATTGACATTGTTCCTGTAAAATGAATGGACTCAAAACAAAACTGAGTAATAATATTCTTTGTCATGTTTCAGCCGGTGGGATCATGTGTCTAGCTGTGGACTGATCATTAAACAATCACGTAGAATTTGGAGACCCTCCTGGAACAAGCATGTCATCCAATTTGGTCCGGACACACACAGCTGCAAAACACACCATGGAGTCTTGGCTGTGATGCCAGTCATTCTGGCAGCTTTGAACCGATTCTCAGTTTATGAGTGTCCCCTAGTGGAGACATGGACAGGGGGAAGAGTGAGAAGGAGTAGTAAAGGGAAGAGGAGAGGGGGAAAAAGACCACTCTAAGCAAAGAGTTAGCCTTTTAGTAATTTGATTGTGTGTGCACTTCAGTTTGAGTCTGCGGGTTAATGACTGTGAAATCCCATGAGCACGTTTTAGCTGAATGTTAAGACTCATTACATCAGCCTGCGGAGGTAATACTGTACGCATCATGACTGCAACATTTATGAACGGCCGCACTTTGTTTTTGTCCCTTCCATTGTTTCTCCTTTCTTTCTCTTGCCTCTTTTTTATTTTACACACCTCCCCTTCTTCTCACCCACACACATACGTCATTCACTCTCCTCTTCCATTTTGTTATTACTTGTCTACTTATTGTAATGGGAGGGCAACTTCTCCCCCCCAGTTGACTGTAAGTGAGTGATTACACGAGAGAACTTTTCTGTACAACTCGGATTGAGCCAAACAACTTCCCGCTGATGTGTTACTTTAATCACACTGGGACATGGTTTGCAGAATAGCATTTGCTAAGATGTGTTGTTTGACCCACTAGCTCCCAGACTTTTGCTTCAGGGCACAGAGCCCAAGTGATGATACACAACACAGTTTGTTTGGCCGGTAGATCCAGGCAGCGCTTCTGGCAACAGAGAGACAAAAGGGAGGGAACATGGATAGCAGTGTTTCTTTTCAAATGTCTTCTGGCAACAAAATGCTCTTTTTGTGAGTCAGCTTTGCTTAAGCAAGTCCTTACACACTGCTTATCAATGGAGTCAGACGTCAGGGCCGTCAAGTGGTTGTTCATAAGCGTTAGCCAAATGCAACCGTTTTTTTTGCGAAGCACATTTCTTTCCTGTCTTAAAGTGGACCTACCATGCTATATTTGAATAATATATTGTAGGGCCATACCTACATAAGGTATATGTATACGTTTTCTTTTTCAAAATAACAAACAGATCATGCATTTTAACCATGCCTCATTTCGCTCTATTTTGCTCTCCTCTACCCCTGTCTTTGCATGCGCTGCAACTGACCACGCCCCCCTGCAAAGGAGGGGGCCGAGTTACGAGCGGCATGTCACCATGCTGTTACCATGCTGTTACCATGCCACGGCAACCTCTCATTCCCCTGATAGGTGGAGAGTAGGCCATATAGGCGGAGGTCCTCGTCACTGACGTCAGACTATTTTCAAATCTGTATCAGTCTGTATCAGATCCGTTGCAGCCCCGTATTTAGAGATTTGGGTATGGAGGAAAATAGAGAGGGTTGTGTTTTCTGACACTTGGTGAGTTCCCTGACACACCGGGGACACATATTCATGTATAAAAGACGTACAAGAGCACATTTTGCATGATAGGTCCCCTTTCATTTCTGATTGACTGAAACTGTTTTACAACATTACAACTTCCATTTACTTATTTATTATATCTGTAGGCGTGACTTGTGGTGTGGATCATGTGTTCAGCAGTGCGTGTGTCTTGCTCAAAGACCTGCCATGGTTTTGGTGATTCACACGTTATTGTCTGTTAAAAAACTGAATTGACTGCCCTGCACGCTTCTCATTTATTCTTTGCTCATCTGTGATCTTCTGTCTTTTCCTTCTCCTTCCTTCTGTCCAGGTATGAGCTTCCTCAGTACGGCAGTCGCAGGAAACTGATTCCACCCTCCGGACTATATGATGAATACGGAGAAGTGGTAGTTGATGACGACGGCAGCTACTACTACAGCCCACAGGAGTCTGAAGGAGAGGTAAAGACAATGAGCTCCTGCAGAAGCACAACAGTAACCTCTAGACAGGGGCGGACTGGGAGGAAAAAGTGGCCCGGGGATTAATTGACAGACAGGCCCACTTAATGTGTGGCATGTATCGGCCGGCCGGCGACGAAAGTATGTTACTTAACAAAAAACCCTATGCATTTAATGTTATTTTGGACCATTATTCATATAGTAATCACATTACCTGAGCCCTTGAGTTGCCTAGAGCAAAAATAGTTACAGCATATATTTAGTGATTTTAATGTTAACAGATCATTGATGCAATAACATTTGGACCCAATTTGCCTGACTTGACGCATGGAATAAAACATGGGCGTAGGAAGCATCCTCAATGTGGGTGAGACAATTTAACAGGGGTGTGGGCAGGTGGTGGACCTCACCTCCTCTACGGGGGTCCGGGGGCATGCTACCCCGGGAAGATTTTTTTTTAAATGTTGAAGTTAAATGCATCAATCTGGTGCACTTTTTTTCAAAATTAGGGACTAAATCTATGTATACATCTCTCAACACCCATATGGAACAGAACTGTAATCAGATTTACTTTTTCTTTCAACATTTATTTGAACAGCAAGTGGAGGCAAAAAGGGACTGCACCCAAAACAATAACCCTGCTAGCTAACTAGCCTAAACTCAGTAACAAAATGTGGGCAACACACACCCCTCCAGGGAGTGGCCGGAACACTTACAAATGTGGGCCGGTAGGATTTGGGCAAAGAAAAACATTAATTATTTTAAATTTTCTCCCGGTATTCTCAATGGCCAGTCCGCCCCTGCCTCTAGATATTCACTAACACGGGATAGTGCCGGCACAAAGGCTGTGTGAAGAGGAGAAAGTGTATATCCCTGAGATAATGAATGATTTTGCATGGTAGAATGTACACACTTTTCTAATAGAGACAGTAATGTTGTGAAAGTATGTATAGTTTAGGGAGAAAAAAAAGCGTTCCTTTCTTGATCACTAACACATTCTCCAAGACATTATCACTCTGATAGACTGTTAGGCCTCATTTCCACTGCATGGTTCAACTCCCATTTCATTTCCACTGCAAATAATACCTCATCAGGTTCGCCATACAAAACTGCTGTGATATCATCACCAACGTGATACTCGCTGAATCCTTTCATTGCCCACCAGAGAGAGGAGCGTCAGAACTTTGTCAATTGTATTGTTTTCAAAGTGTCTTTTGGAAAATCTAGTTCAAATGAATAAAAACATTTCTGTAATAACTGACGGTAGCTTTGCTATTTAAAAAAATTGCCGGGTTTAGGCAGGAGTGGGCTATGTTTACACTCCACCTTGTAGAACAAAAATGTACCAGGTAACAAAAAAACAAAATGTGCCAATAAGAAACCAAACAAAGTATATCCAAGCCGTGCCATGCAGTGGAAATAAGGTATTAGACTGCTTTGATGGTTGGGACACGAACATTTGTCAATTCAAATTACTTGATTTATTATTGATTTTGCCGTTTGAATGATGTTGTTCCTTTCCTAAACGTTCTTCATTTGGTTTTGGACTAATATCATGACGACAGGTGAGGAGACACATTCAAGGAGGTAGATTATTCCAACACCCTGCCTACCTCCAGCCACGTCCTCCAACTTCTCACGGGTCACCAAGAAAGACCCCAATAGCCCCAGGAGCTGAGGGCGACAAACACCAACCGTCAGAGGGGGGTGCACCCACAAACGAAAAGCCTAAGAGCTTAAGTGCAGCCGCCAGGTTGAAGGCTGTGATGAAGGTGGGCAACCTGCTGTCCTCTGGTAGTAAAACATCTGGACAACCCCCTGCCATCCACCTGCCCTGGAACAAAGCCAGAGTCAGACCCGTGGAAGACGGGGAAGGATGTAGAAATGAGGAAAGAAATGGGGAAAGAGTGGGAACAGGATTTGAGCGAAGGGGAGGAAGAGATGCAGCAACAGAAAGAGGGAGAGAGAGAGGAGGAATGGAAACATGTGGAAGGAGCAACAGAGGTGGCGTGACGAACAATGGCATGAGAAATGCTGAAGGCGTCAGGCCAGAGAACAGGCCAGAGCTCCCTGGCCACTTTTCCAGCATGGATGGCAGTATGGTCATCAATGGGAGTTATTTCCAGTCGTTCGGTGAAGCCAGAAAACCCCCACCAGTGAAACAAAAGCTGAGCGAGGCCCTGAGTCTTATCTCCCTCACCAGAAGGCTCCAGGGACCCGCCAGGGTGGGAGACGAACAGTGGAGCGATGTCAAAAGCTGGGAAAGAGGGGAAAGGAAGAGTAGGAAGATGAATGGCTCCATAGGAAATATGAGTGTTTCTGCATCGGTGTCAGAGAGAGCCATGGGGGAGGAGAGGAGGTGGGAGGGCGAGGTGGGAGAGCTGAATCGTTCCTCTGAGGCATGGTGGGAGAGGGAAAAACGATTTCACGACTGTGATTCAGAAGCAGGAAGTGGCAGCAAAGAGTCTCCCTCAGAATATAGTCCCTCCGACGCGAGCAGCCCCACCTCTTCGGTTACAGCCGAGCACAGGAAGAACGAATCTGACGCAGAAACAAAAAAGGGAACCGGTCGGGAGTCAGAGAGTGGGAGCCAGCAGGGGGGAGGGTGGGAGTCAGGGTTGGAGAGTGAAGATGAGAGGAAAGAGTTAAGCAGGAAACGCTCAAAAGGTAGTTCTAGTACCTCTACGAGAAGCAGTGTTGGCGGTAAGAGAAGAAGAAGAAGAAGAAGAAGTGCCAATTTAAAGAGCACAAGTAGACAGCGAGAGAGAAGCAGCAGTGACTCTCAAAGATCAAGATGTGCAGGCTCTTCAGCTTCTAGTTCGAGGCCCCAAACGTCACGACACTCCCGTTCCTCACATGACACGATGGAAGAAGAGAGCGAGGAAGATGAGGAATCAGCAGAGGAGGAGGAGGATAAAGGAGGGAAATCACGAAAACCCTCGACGAGCAGGCACAACGTCCAATCAGACATCAGCTCCGGTTTGATGGACACCTCCGATGACTTGTCACCCATCATCGAGGACACGGAGGAGGAGGAGGAGGAAGAGGAGAGCAGCGGCCACGGCGAAGGAGGAGGAAAAGGGGGATTCTGAAAATGAGCCCACAGATTGAAATGCAGATGAGGCCTCAGCCCCTCCGCAGATTACATTCTTTGCCACTGAGTAAGATCTTGTTGCCTGGCGTGCAGTCATTACCTGTGTGGAATCTATTACTCTAATCTCTCTCTTCTTTCCTTGTTTGCTGTGATTTACATCCACAGGAGTTCAAATCGCCTGCATGTCCTCTCAGAGTCTCTTATTGTGGCTCTCGGATCCTTTTTTTCCAATCAGAGTGGTGGTTGGTTTACTTCCGTAGATTTCATTTCCCTTTTTGTGAACGCTCAACTTCCTGCTGCTCCTTTTCTCTGATGCTGTGGCTGAAAGATTGTTATTCACCGAGCTCTCTTTGTTCCACCGAGCTTCTTACATGAGTCATTTCTTCTTCTGTGTCCATCATTCTCCCTGTATCAGTGAGTTCCTCCAATAGCTGTTATCTGCAGGAAGGAGAACATACTGTCTGTTCTTTGTGAGGATGATCATGTTCTTTCTACTGTACCTTGCTCTCTGGGTTAAATGGAAAAACTGGAGTTATTTACTTGGCAGACATTTTCTTTTTCCACAATGTGCACTGCAATGTTAGCTCTGACCCAACACAGAGATGTCACAGTGCTTTATGTTACAAGGAGAAACATTGCAGATATAACTGTGCCCTCATTTTAAACATTTCCTTAGCACTGCTTTGAATCGCTTTCCCACCAAGGAAAACATTCTGACCTTATTTGCTGTGAAGTGTGTTTGCAGTGTGAGTGAACTTTAACACTCTTTTCAAATCGATACTTTTTTTATTTTAAAGGACAAACATCTCAAAATAAAAATGTTCACGGATTATATTTTGACCTTAATCGTGGTTGAAGAAGTTGCCCTGATGTCACTATCCACAGTGGTACAAATTATGTTTTGTACTCTTCCTTTAAGGTCACCTGTTATGCAAAATCCACTTTTCGTGTCTTTTATACATAAACATGTTTCCCCTCTGTGGAAAGAGATTCTGAAAGTTTCTGGAAAAAAAGATTCGCTCAAGGTAACATTATCACCTGAATCTCCTCCTAGAGCACCATTGTGTTATTTTTAACCAGATATCTTTCAGAGGGCCGTGGGGAGGGGATCTTATTTTCCTCTAAGTAACAGACAGAGAATCAGCACTTTTGAAACAGGGCTGAAACAGAGGGGATTATGGGATGCTACAATTATCTGTTTGGTGTTTCGAGCCAAACACTTCTGAGACATGTTTTGTATATATCTGAGACCTGTTATATATTGATTAAAAAAAAGTATAATAGGGGATCTTTAAAAAAAAAAGATACAAATTCTCCAACATTTTAGCCATGTACACTAAAAGAAAACTAGGATTCTAAGGATTCTTTTTTTTTAACTTGATTAAATTCAGTGGCCCCTTTTCTGACATTTGTTATCTTTCTGTTTTTCCAGCCGGGCAACAGAAAGCGTCGGATCAAGTTGGTGGTGGACCGGGAATATGAGACCAGCTCCACCGGAGAGGAAAGCCTGCCGGAGACGCAGCGCAGCCGCCTCCCCCCCACCCTCAACAGCCACAGCAACGTGAACGGCAGCATCTACTTGGCCCAGAACGGCTCCATCATCCGCACCCGACGCACAGTCAACGCCACATGTACCACACACACGCACAGCACCACCATGAACAACAACCTCAAAATCCCCTCGCCCGTCTTCAGCTCACGGCTGGCCAAGCACTTTAAAAAATTGGACAAAATGGCCGCCACACTGGAGGAGAGAGTTCCCCTGAACAACCCCCCATCACCAGCGGACAGCGGGGGCAACACGCTGCGCACTTTCCAAAGCTCGGGGATGGTCGCCTCGGCAACGGCCACTTCCTCTTTCTCTAACAATGACAACACTAAGACGCTGAGTACGTTTAACACCCGGCAATCCAGCGCTTCGTTAGGATCCAGCACAAGCAACACGGGCCCCGACAGCGTGGAGTCTAAGTCAAACCTGCTCAGAGAGGCTCAGAGCGGCAGGGAGACGCCTCAGGGCCCGGGGGGGAGAGAGGAGCTGGGAGAAGGGGAGAGAGAGACGCAGGTGGACGTCTGTAGTGACGGCGTTGGGCTGGTTGTGGGGGAGCCGCTGGAGTGTCCGAGTGACAGAACGCTGTCCGACGAGGAGGAGTTGTGGATGGGCCCGTGGAACAGCCTTCACATACCCATGACTAAACTCTGATTGAAACACTGTGCTCGCTCCTTATTGCCAAGATCATTAAAGACATTGTTTCTGTCCATTAGTCGTGGAACTAATGGGGATGCTCCAATCCAATTTAATCTAATTATCAGATCAGCTAAAAAGGTGAATTAGCATATCCTGGGGTTTAAAGTGAATTGTACTAAGAAGTAAGATTCATAACATATCAACCTAAAGTTTTCATTTTTTTTTTTTTTAAGGGAGAGTGAGTAGGATTTAGTGGCATCTAGTGGTGAGGCTGTTTACCCCTCTCTTTGCAAGCATGTCGGAGAACTACGGTGGCCTTCAGGTACAAATGTGAAATGACTTCTCAGGTGCCAGAAATGGTCCGTTCTGGACTTCTGTAGAAAACATGGCGGTGCAACGTGGCAGACCTGCTCCCTGTGTAGATATGAAGGGCTCATTCTAAGATGACAGGAAAAAAACAATGATTCTTTTTTTCAGGTGATATTTACTTATAATGAATATGATTTTACATTCCTACCAACACATCACGTAAACCTACAAACTCGACCTCAGACAATTGATCAAAATAAATCTAAATGACCAATTAGTCAGCATCTGATTTACTTTTTGCCAGGTAACTAATTAAAACATCTTGTTTCTTTACTCAAATTCCCAATCAGAGCATCCCTTAAAGACATATGCCACACCTTTGGACAACTGGACCTAGATTGAAAGGACTTGTTATATTTCTACTTTTTAAGAGATAATGAAAGAAACTTGAGGAAGAGATCTATGAACTTTTTATGGCCCTTTAACCGACTGGTGTCTGTATAGAAGCGCACTTGTTTCATTCAGGATTACAGCGACTCATCTTGAATATGTCTGACACTTTGCATTGACACGTGAAGTCTTGTATCGTTCAGAATTGCCTTTTTATCCTTGTCAAGTTGCTTGGCAAACTATCCAAATAAAAGACTATTTCATCCATTGAAACGTGGAGTTTGGCTAACTTGGTGATGTCTACTAAGTAACCAGAGATAGCTGTGCTAAAATAAGGCTTTCTTAAGGTCTAATGAAGTGTATGGATTAATGGGTGTTTTAACACTTTTCACACTTTCTCACAGTCAAGTGAGAACATTGATGGCGCTCTGAGAGACTACCTCTCGGCATAATTACAATTTAAAGTGTCACATAAAAAAAGCGAGAATATCCCAATTTTGAGTCTCTATCAAAAGTGTTCCTTTCTTGTTTAAAAGAGGTTATTTTAAATCCCCTAATCCCACTAAGAGATTTTCTGTAAGGAGCAGGTGGATCATTCTCCCTCATAAAAGTTCATCATCATAAAGGTGGGAGAACTTTTTAATTGTGAACCACATTACAGTGAATTATGTCATTTGAAGTCTGGAAGAAGCTGGACCATTAAGCTGCAAAATGACCAGTTTTTAACTCTCACATTTAATTTGCTGACTGCATAATTTCGCACTAAGGAACCCAACAGAGGGTGCCACATTATCGGCGGTGATATTTGAACCCGAGTGTTTCTTATTAGCCGGAATTAGCAGACTGTACAGAGGAGCAATATTTTAAACAGTTTCTGGAAGAAAGGGCACGCCTGAGCCGCTGTTACTGATTCAACTAAATGACCTGATTATGTCCCTGACTTCTGAGTCGACTGCGTTATGAGAGAAGGCAGATGAGCATGGCTCATTAATGTGAAACAGATGAATAGATATGATTGGTGGCTGAAATTATGTTGGAAAGGGCATTTCTGATTTATCATTTATGTTGGTAATGTTGGTAATGTTTTACAAAGTTTCCTTTTCTTTAGTTTGAGGAAGTGATCTCAGGGTGTCAATCATTCACGGCAAAAACTAATAAGAAGCACGTAAATACTGTTAGTTGTACATTTACTAAAGAAATGTATAAGGATTACTGTTTTCTGTTACTTTAGACATATTCTGCAGGTCTCCCTTGAAAAAGAGATCTATGATCTCAATGTGACCAATCTCGTTAAATAAAGGTTTGAAACGAAAAATCAGATATCCGATAAAAAGTACTATAATAAAATATCAGAAAAATGTCAGATGGAAAAGTCATAGTATAGTATGTCGTAAATATCTGTAAAAACCACATAGAATGACGAAAATATCAAGAAAAAGGTGAGGTCAGGTTGAAAATGTTTTTCTTTGGCTAAGAAAACATTGTTTTAAATGTTGTCTTTCCCGTATTGATGCTTACCTCAAATATCGTAAGCCAATCACAACTTTACCTGTTGTTTGGTTGTTGCCACTGAGCACACACACACACACACGTTTACATTACTTCAGGGGACATTACATTGACTTACATGCATTTCCTGGAGACTTATCCTAACCATAACCAACACATGCCTAACCCTATCTCTTACCCTAAACCTGACCAAGTCTTCACCCTAAAATGAATGATACCCCTTATGGGGACCTCTATTATGTCCCCATAAGGGAGGCGAGTCCACACATGTGACTGTGTAAACAGATTTAGGTCCCCACAAGGATAGTAATGCTAGCACACACACACTGCAGCAGTAAGATATGTATTTTTTTATTGTGATCCTGCTAAATGACAATTACACCATTTCTCATACATTTAAAAATTCAAGTAAATAGACAAATGTTCACTTGTACACATCATAACATGAATAGTGAATGTTAAAGGGTATACTGCACATCTTATGAAACAACAGAGTGCTAATAATGAAACATGTCATAATCAGCGGATATAACGAATACAGCAAAATGGGTATTTATTATCCAAATAATAACAGGACAAATTGTCAGCTTTATCCACATTTCTGAAAACTCACGAAATAAAAGTCATTAAAAGATGCTGCTGTGTGCTGCAGAATAACATCAGGCGTATGAATACTATACTGAATATTTTACACAAAGTAAAATACTTCTCTAGTCTCTAAATAAGTTTGAGTAAAGTCAGGGCAGTGGAGAATTAATCCTCTCACATATTCAAATAAATAAAAAACACAAAACTACTTACAAGAAAATACACAGATAACCGCCAACCAGGGCTTCACATTAAAATAAATAACATCCAAACACACATTTGTCTCAGGTTCAACACATTAAGAAATGTTACATTCAGAAATGAGGTCTACATGTTAGAAAGAAGGGAGAAAAAAGTAACAGAAAATGTCCCTTTCTGTTTAAAGTCAGTGTGGTTTTCACATAGTTATATAAGCAGTTGCTAGTTATCACACGTTTAGAGTTGTGGTTTCTTGGATCACTATTTAAATCTAGATTTAGATCACGGTTACTTTACCACTGATAACAGATAAGCTTTGTGTGTGGATAAACAAATTAAGAAAAGGAGTTAGGAACCAGGGGTGGAACTTATTGCACTAACATTGAACATCATTACTTGGCAGTGAACACAGTCTTATTTAAAGACAGATGAAGGACACACACATTATTTTTGTGGAGCATGGTTGCTAAAAAAACACTTTCTATAGAATTATACTTGGTGTCTCATGTCAGAAGAAGTGTTGGATTGTGTGTTAAAAAGAGTAAAATTAATTCTCAACCCCAAATTATTTTTAGTTATACACCACACAAAACTGATTTTCTACAGATCTAATGAAGGAAATGTTTCCAAATAATGATGGATAAGGATTTTTGGGTCTGTTTTCTTATCTTTGCTTACTAAACAGTGCGTCAATATATTGTTGGGCTCCTCAAGGATCTACACTAGAAGGAATACTTATGTATTAATATCTGAATGCCAATTAAAACAACACTTTAAAAAAAAAAAGGGTAATTCACACTTAGAAATATGGAAATGTTAAAAATCAAAACATAAAAAAGGGGAAAGTGGCCCCAAGTCAATCAAGTTTAAGTAAACATTCTGAAATGAGCAGTAGAAATAGAGAAATAAAGAAAAGTCTAACATCATTATGGACAATCTATCAATACTACTCATCTATAAAGATATATTGCATTTCAAATAAATCTAAAGTCAAATGCAATTTCATCAGTTTTTTTTTTTAGAATATTTTTGTTTTACAGTTGGGCATAAACATTTGAGTTCAACAAAGCGTTATAAAAACAATCCAAACAATTATCTCATGCTTTCCTCAAATCTAAATGTGTAACTGGGCCAAACTTTTTTGACCACCTCACAACAATCAAGTCTCTCTTTTTCAGACAGATGAAGAAAAACACGGAAATTGACAGCAAAAGGAAAAATGTGCAAAATATTGTTTTAAGAAGATCTGGCTGTGTTTCTCGAAACAAACTTAAAGCTAGTATCATTATTCACAACAAAAAAAGGAAAAGTGATTTATTAGTTTGAAGCTTTTTAACTCATGAAACCAGTGAACAGTGTTAACGAAGACAGAAACCTGGAACTAATGTCTGGTCAGATTTGTAATCCTATTTAGAAAAGGTAATCAGATAATTTTGCCATTTCTAGTGAGTATTTGATTTTGGAAAAAGTATTACATGGCCGTTTTTGTTAACAGTAGCATTACTTAATTAACTTTTATATGTTCTATTAATAGCGCACAATGATAACAGAATTAAAATGCTTTGTGAAACCAGCCAGATATAGAACTACACAATGAATTCATTAACTGTAGGGCAGTGTTGCAACATTTTAAGGCACAGCAACTTCATCCCAAACAAAGTGATAAGGGATGGTTTCACATTTGCCCTGCACACATTAATGTTGCATACTGCCTTGAAATGCTGTCCACGTATCGTCACCTTCCGGGCAGCGACCGCAGTGTCCAAGAAATCTCCCAAAGCACTGCTGCTTCTTTACAGAATATCTGAGCATGTCACTGCTGTATCCTGTGAGCGCTGCCCGACCGTGTGCCCTTACAGTACTGTGAAACTGGAACGGTAAGAAATAACCAAACAAGCCAGCTGTTCAGCCTCCTTCACAACGCCCTCAGAGCTCATACCTGAGAAAGAGAGACGAATACTTTGAAACCTCTTCAGCCCTCCACATCTCTCTTTCTGTACATGCAGGTCTGCCTCTGTGCTTCATTTGTTGCGATACGAGCAGAGGGGGAACCAATAATAAACCTTCTTGGAACCAAACAAAGTCATCCAATAGCAAACGGTGCTAGGACACTTTCTCTTGGATACAATTTGTCTCTAAACTCATTCAATCCAGAGGATATTTGCAGGCCGCCTTTCGTCTCTTACGGTGTCATTTTTTGGGAGATAAAAACTGGCACTCGTTCCTCTTTATCCTTCAAATGTGACTCAGGGAAGTGCTTCCTTTTCATCTGTGGGAAAAGGAATACTTTGAGACCCTGATCACACACTATATGACTTCAATAAGAGCAGCTGCCTCTGGTTCTCCGCCTCTCCGTGGAGCCGCTCTACAACCAATAAACCAAAAGAGCTTGCTGCCCCCCCCGCCCCCCCCCCCCTCACTGC